GCATACGAGTGGGTTAAATATAGGACCGAAGATACTGAGAAAGTCTGAAGCTTCCGCCATGGCAACTTGGTCAGTGGGCTTCTACTTTTTCTGTTTGTTTTGGGGAGACTTCCACTCTGTTTTACGCGTGTCCAACACGCCAAATTTTTTTCATATTTAGATTATGGAAGAACTAATAAAAAAATGTTTTATACGTGTCCCTCGCAAAACATGTTTTTTATTAAAAAAATATTTAGACATTTTATTATTATTTTTAAGGACATATTTTTATTGAAAGAGAAAAAACTAAACAAAAAGTCACACTTGAGAGTTTTAATTTAAAGTGTAATTATTAACAATAGCGAAAGTATCGATTCAAGCTAGAATTACAGCGAATATCATGTAGCGATCATTATAGACATGTAGCTATAGGACATGCACCTTGCAATGGAAAATACAATTATGATTTTAATGGTGTTCAAATTTATTTATTGCACGTATTGTCATGTGACTTATGATCAACAATGGAATGATATATTGGAGTAATATTATTGTTACTATAATTTTTAGGGAGTTTTAATGAAAAACTCGTAGTATTGTTTACTTTAACGAAAAATCATATTTTTACACTAAAAAAATCAAACATGGTGCTATTCACTTTACAATTTATTTTGTCCTTATCGTTAAAACTCAAAATTTTTAAGCTTTTTTCATTAATTTTCTTTAATTTTTATATCATATTTATACTATCTTTTTAATAGAAGTACGCCCATCAAAACATGAGAGTTTTATTTTTATTAGAAAAGTAGGACAAATACATGATTTTTTGTTTACGAAACTAAGAATTTTGCTCAACTTTGATGGTAGTGGTTTTGTTGGTTTGACCTAAGGAGGGAATTTTATTGGTGGGATCACGATATCATGCCACACATGATTTATTTATTTATTTTTTATTTTTTATTTTTGTAAACTCATGACACATGATATAATTTATGTTTTCGTTAATCATCATTGGAAGGTTGACAAGTAAAAGCCTGTAGATAAGAAAGAAAGGTAGACTGCATGAAAAGCAGGCCATGATCATTCTTCGTGTTATCGTCATGCAGTTAATTATTAATTCTCCAATGCCGCCGTCCAAGTAATTTTGTGACTCACTTTGCTTCTACAAGTTGACAACAAATTTTTTAGTGTGCCAAAATTACAGTTTGGTAAATTAAATGTTATAATACATTGGTTGGAAATTTGAAGAATAAAAATATTCAATTAATTGTATTATGATAATTGATGTATTGGATCGTGTTTTTAACACATTGAAAAATTTCTTCAAGTTGACACTTATCACAAAATTTGGTAATTGTCTCAATCTTTCTATCCAAAATGTTTAAAAATAAAATAAAAAAAGCTTAAATATCAAAACAGGTCTCTGTGTTTCATAAATTTGGTTAATTTGGCCCCCTTAGTTTCAATTTGACCAAATTGATCACCGCGTTTGCCTTCGTCAGTCAATTCTAGACAAAAGAACTGTTCAAATTGACATGTGTCTTGTATGTGAAAAGACAAAAATGTAATGCCATGAAACCCGTCTACTCCCTCTTCAGTAATCTTTCTAATCCTTTGTTTATTTTCCAGGAGAATTGTAATCCTAAAAAATTATTGTGTAGTTGATTTGCACTCCAAATAGATGTCCACAAGATTATCCTACATGAAAATATTTTGAGCCGTTGTCATTGATCATGTGATTTCGCATGCATGTAATAAGTTTACAATGGAATTACATTTTTTGTCTTAATTTTAATGTCAGTCTAAAATTGATTAACAAGGATAAATATGAAGATCAAATTGATTGATAGAGTAAAACATAGTAAACATTTTGACACTTAAGCCTAAAATATCATCTTTTGTGGCTCGACTTTCAATCTTTTTATTGAAAAATTAAAAAAGGTTTTGAGTTTGAATTTTCTTTGGTCATAAAAGAATATTCATATCATTTCAAACCATCACTCATCTTTGACATTCACGTATTCCACATAATACAAATAAAATTGGGAGGCTGTTATATTTTTCTTTATAAATATAAAAAAGTGTAGAATGCGAAAAGAAAATTTTAGAATGCCAATGATAATTTTTTAACATTTATCCTAAGTTATGTTTTATAGTACAAATAACGCTCCGTTTATTGTGCCTATTGCCTTACGTTTCGGCCTAACTAGTGGAGATCTTTTCAATGTGTACGGAATACGAGGATGTACACCACATGTAATTATGCAATTTGAGGAATATTTGAAAGACTTTTTAGCTAAAATAGTCTCTAAGATTTGCATAACACATCATTTTGATCTCTACGATTGAAAATCAATAGAAATGGTCCCTAAGATTGTCCACTATCCATTATTTTGATTATTTTGTTAAAAACTCCGTTAAGTGTCCCGGATCTCTTAGTCGGAAGTTTGGACAATTTTTCAAAGCTTTGTAACTAAATCGTTTCTTAACCAAATTCGACCCATAATATATCAAAATAAAGATAGAAAAGTGTAGAACACGATCATACCAATTTGGCCCAATGGTTGCCAGAGATGGCCGGAAAATATTTTGAAAGGTGACTGGTTCGCGGGAAAACTGGAAAACTCGTCGGAAACTGGTAAACTTTAAACGTTCACAACTTCTTCAACACTCAATGAAATCAAGTGATTTAAAAACGAAAATCATACTTCTCGACGAGTCGAAAAGAATGGTGCCTTTATCGATGGCTAATTAGCCGTGGTTTGGATGGAAAACGGCTTGAAATTGGCTAACTTGAGACTAAGACAACCACTTTCAAGCTGTTTTTGGCAAAACCACGGTGAGTAAGTAGTCTAAAAAGGTACCATTCTCTTTGTCTTGTTGAGAAGTATGATTTTCATTTTTGAATCACTTGATTTCGTTAAGTATTGAAGAAGTTATGAACGTTTAAGGTTTACACAGTTTTCGGAGAGTTTTCCAGTTTTTCCCGCTGACCAGTCTCTTTTTAGGATATTTTTCGGCCATCACCGGCAACCATTGGGCTTCCAAATAGCTATAATCTTGTTCAACACCTTCCTATCTTCAGTTTGATATATTATGGGTCGCATTTGGTTAAGAAATGATTGAGTTATGAAGCTTTGAAAATTGCCCAAACTTTCGGCCAAGAGCTCTGGAACACTTAATGGAGTTTTTAACGGAATGACCAAAATAATGGATGGTGGACAATCTCAGAGAACATTTTTATTGATTTTCAATTTCAAGGACCAAAGTGATGCGTAATGTAAATCTCAGGAACCACTTTAGCTAAACAGTCTATTTAAAAAGAAAATTTTCCAACCACTCAGCGTTCAGGCGACATCAATAAAATCTCACCTAACCGGCCCAATAAACTATTAAATTCATAAGTCTGCCTTTTTTTCTTTGACTGATCATCTTCCTTTTATTATACTAAATTAATATTAATTATAGCGACACTGAAAAATCCGAACTTAAATGTAAAAAGAGAAGTACATTTCTATAATCAACTTAAACTAAAGAAACACAAAATCATGAACTTTTATTTTCACTCATGCATTGGCCAAAACCCTATTTGGTCTCAGCCAACAGAGAAAATTTTTAATATGATGGGAACGTAAGTAGTATACCATGTGTTTTTATATAAGTATGAGGAAATTATGTTTGTTAAGTTATTAACTTGTTAACACACATATTTCACTATTGATACAGTAACACGTGGTATAACACCACATGTTCCAGTCACAAAAAAATCTCTGCGGCATGAAGAAGAAGATCCTACAGATCTGCATGCTTCTAATACAAGGCACGTGTCAGTCCGAATGAACCCTGGCCTTGGAACTAATTAGTTTCACATTTTTGTAAATCATAAAAATCAATTAATTATCCCCCATTGAAACATGATCACTTTCTTTTCCAATGGATCGATCGAGCTCAGTTAGTTCTGGTAGGGTTACCGATCTTTTCACGCCAAAACCTTCCAAAACTACCGCTCATTATCCTCTTCATGACGCCGATGATCCTCACCATCCAGACCCCCAGCAAGAAGAGCTCCAAGAGCCCCTCAAATTCCCTACCCAGCAGGTCTGACAATTCATTTCCATTGTTTATATGCATACATTGCACAGAAACTCTCTGTGGAAGACGTCTATTCTTTTACGCACAGATATATTGTATTGATAACATAAAGAACGAACGCCTGTTTGATAGTTGGAGTGTTCATTACATCAGTGATAGATGATCGTCATATGCTGAAATTCTCATTTGTTCGTTCAACTGCAGAAATCTAGTGGCAGTGGGGGAGTTGGCAATGGATGCACCATCAATATTGATTTTTGTACATCTTGTTCTTACAGGTTTCTATATATGTATATTATGTTTGGATGATCTTAAACTATGTCTGGCAGAGGAACTGCAATAACAATGTAAAACATGCTGGTAACGTCATTTCCCCGGCTCGATGTAATCCTTCCCTTCAAACTTCCAAGGCGCCTGCTGAGCAAACTGGTACCGGTTGTTCAGGTAGGAATCATCGGGACGATAATGGTCGCAAACATGTGTTCTCGAGGCTGAGAATAACGACGCCACCTCATTGGCACCAGGCCCTGTAAGCAAATAGGTTTGGAAGTATGGCAAGCACTTGGCTTTTTGGAAACTTCATCCAATCCTTCCTTTAAAGCACAGGAGCTTTTGAAGTGTATTGTAATGGTGAACTGGTATAACTCTATCCTCTTCTTCTCGATTGAGTTAAATGCCGAAATTTCTCCATTTCTGTCTCCGCTAGTTGCTCATTGTTATGAATCTTGTCGGACGTAGCTCTTCTCGAAGCTGGAGCAGAGGTTCCCTAAAGAAATTGAGTTGAGGGATCTCGTCGGAAAGAGCTTGGAGGAGGGTATGGTCTTAGTTGCGCTGGAGGAGGAGACGTTTTTACCTCTACACGATCGACATATACCTGATCTTTTGTTGATACGAACGCAAGATTGCCTTGCGGTTTATATGCTTTAACATGCATGAATTGCCACTCGATTGAATAACCACAGTTGTTCATAACATTTTCTTTTTCTTCTTAATTTGTACAATCATCAACGTAAAGAAAAGTGTGGCCGGCAATGTTTCTGAAGCCTAGCAACATAAATTACTTTGTATCAAGGATTACAATGACACACGGTGACAATTATATACACTGTAGAAGAACAAGAACGACCTCTTGGATATCTTCTGGATCACAAGCTGCAGGTGGAGTTCTTAATTGAATGACATTGCCTTTCGGGTAACTGCAGAAGGATTCTTACTCCTGGACATGGAAATTCATATCTAATGCATAAAGCTGAACCTTTGTTATTTTAAATATGCCACCATTTTCGACCTTCCAATCTCTTGACAAGCTCGTTTGCCATTGATGAGAAGTCTTCAGCCCCGTTCTGCAGATCTTCAGTACGCCGGCTGATTTTCTGATAAATGTTTAATTTTGGGATTAGACAGAGAAAAGGAAACTAGTAAGTTTAAGAAATTTAAACATTTGCTAGTTGAAGATATGCAACCTAGAAGAACAAACTGAGATTAGAAATGAAATATTGTTCACAATATTTGCTTTGATCATGATAGCAATCTTTTATCACTAAACATATGAACTCTTTTTGGACCCAAAAAAAGAAACGCAAATAAAGAAAGAAGAATTAGTTTGTGAGGTTCTGCTACAATCTTATATGCAAGCAAATAGTACATCCGGACGTAATAGTTTGTGAACCCGCCCGAATACATTTTCACAACATTCTCCAACAAAAGATAAAATGAGAAGCAGTTAGTCTAAGGAAGAAAATTCCTTTGTGAACCAACATAGTAGAAATCCTACCTCAAGTTTTTCCTGCCTCTCCATGAGCTTATTTCGTGCTTCAGAAGCCGCAGAAGAAGCACCCTGAAATGAGTTCTTACCAGATCAGAGAAGGCATTTCATTTCTAGAGTAACTTATGTATCATCTGAACCGTCATCATTTGATATTACCTCAGTCTTTCTATATTTAGCTCTAATTTCTTCGGCCGTTCTAACTCTGGGCTTTGTATCACCAGTCCCACCTTGAAATAACTTTTCCCTTTCTGATTGCCCTTCTGCATACAACAATTAAATGACACTATTATTACATTTCCTAATATTTACAGAAAAGAAGAAAGCAGGTCGAATATTACAAAAGGTTTACCTCTCTTTTCATCTTTGACATCATGTGGTGATAAAGTAGATGCTACTGATAGAGGTTCATCTATTTCAATGTCATCTATATCAAAGGAGAACTGAGTTAACAAGAAGGAGAAAGACGTAGAAAAGATTGAATACAAGGAAACAGGATAGCACAAAAACCTATATTAAGCTCCAAAACTTCTTGATGATCTACAGGCGGAGATGGTTCTGACAGTTGAGACTTCCAAAACATGCCCTCTAAATGATTGAAAGTTGATTTAGGAGTTGCAGTATGATCTCCACTCTGGACCATTTTCCCCCCTTTAAAGCCTTTAACAATACCACCTAATATTCCGGGTGCAGTACCCTGTAGTCGAAAGATACGTTATTACTGGAAAACTATTCTCCCTTCATCACAATGAAATAACAGTTTGTTTTTCTCTAAACCTGTTTTTTCTTCTGATTCAAAGAGACACTGAGTGCAGCTTCTGCAGCAGCTGCAACAACTTTATCATGGAGACAGGGCAAAGACTCCGGAATCCTACAAACAGACAAAAAAAATTCTGAAATTATCTAACAGAAAGTTCATGACCAAACCGTAATGCAACTATCACATTTCCCTCACAGTGTGTAAATGAACATAAACAATACCTGAAATCATTCTCAACAGCTAATATAGAGATGAATGCCGATTCATACCCATTTACCTATAAAATCCACATCATAGAGTCTAATGAATGCACGTGCTATTTTTCAAGAGATTTAAGTGCAAATCCAACATTCTTGAAAAATTAAAGGCAATGATACCAGTGTAATATGTGCATCATCGGCACTCATTGTCTTATCCATGTTTGCCTTACAATTCCACCTTAGAATTGACATCAAGGAGCTTTCTTTCACCAATTCTAAATCAGGAATGGATCTGCCCACGAACAGGTATGAAAAACTCATCAGACAATCAATAATGCACATATATCTACAGCGTCAGTCAATAAACAAGTAGCGGTAGCTTGATATGCTATCATTACATGTTTTAATCCCCACTAGAAATATTGATAAGGTACTTGCTGCTACATAATCTGTATCATTTCCTTGACTATTGGGGAAAAGAATGGTACCTGATCTCAATTTCTCCAGTCTGAAACAGCAAAACCAATCCCGAAACCTTTTCAACTCTCTTAAAAGTTGCTGTCCAAATGCAAGGTCTTGCATGTTTCACTTTTCGGATGGGTTTATTGTTTCCCTGATAAGATGACACTGTCTCAGCATGCTTTCCGAATAAATGAAATAGCAGACAAAAATAAAGAAGGCAAGAGGCACCTGAATCACAGATTTTGTTGAGTATAACTGCAGTGAATCCACACAACAAAGCAAAATGAATGAATTCAACAATCTCTCTTCAGAGTATGTACTTTCTGAGCTGGATTCATGCTCAGTTTCATGTGAATTTGTAACAATTGGAGTATCGCCTGGCATAGGCTCATTCTTTGTTGAAGAATCCTTGGAGGCTTCTTGGGGTGGATTATCATCAGACACATTTTCAGACGTAGATACTCTGCCATCTGGAGTACCAACAGAAAAATTATTAGAGTTCTCTAATTATGAAGTGAAAAAGAAACTAAAAGTATTTTATTCCCTGGTAGATGATATCTGTACTTGCCTATAACATACATTGAAAGTGCAATTGACTCCTTTTTCAAGTGCCATGGCTGAGGGATGATCAGGTTACCAGCATTTCCATCAATTACATGTATATTTGCATCCTTGGTTAAGACAAACATTACCTCCTCTGCTGGGTTAGCTGTTGATTTTGTTTCGGAAACCTTTGGGCTGTTCAGGAGGTGTTGAGAATTTGTAAGTTCTTTCCAAGTCATTGAAATGACTGGAGAGCTCGAGAAAGATGCATCTTTTATAAAGAACAATACAGAAAAGGAACTTGTGTCCAGCACCGCAACCTGAAATGGATGCATTAAATTCAAAAGTCTTTCTAACTATAGCAACTTAAATTTTATGGGCCAATATTCAATCTATTGAAAACAATGAGTTATAAATTCAGAAGCAGAAAAAGAATACTTACATGACCACACTTAAATCCCACAGCAAGTTTAGCACCATGCTTTACAAACTGAAGTGTTTGAACTGAGGAATTTGTAAGACTAAATACAGCTCTGCATTGCGATCCTTTTGCTTGAGGCGAATCGTGAACTATTAAACAGAGTGATAAAATTGTTAGCTTCATAAGCAAATGTTCCATAAAAACTACTTCAAGATAAGTTTAACACTAAGATCTGATGAGCTTGCACCTGATGGACTGTGTAAGGAAAAATGAAAGCAACATTTTTATGAAGTCAAAGAGATTGACACTTAAAAAACCTACCTTCACATTTGGTTTCTGTGACATACATGAATTTTACCCCATCTGAACAGCCTTTCAGATTATAAATTCGAACCTATACACGCTAGTAGAAAGACAATCAGCACAGTAAAAGTAAAAAGTAAAAAATGGTATCGATAGAGAAAGATATCTGACCAGACCACATTCACTGCCAACAGCCAGATTTAAAGTGAAGGCGCAGAAATCCATTTGTGATACGGGAGCACTTGAACCAGCAACTTTTATATCTTGCACCTGCCAGTTATAAGGTATCACACCATGCACATGCCTTTTTTATAAAGACAAAGTTTATAAGATTTAAGTGATGAACTCTAACCTTGCTTTCTACGAGGCAGATAAAAGAGAAGAGTGGATATGTTGCATTCCATATCCGAACAGATCCATCTGAATATCCTGTTAGGTACAGTCTCTCAATACCATTATTCTCAGAAATAGACAGTTGACTGGGAACACCCCCAGTCAAGGGCCATTTTGTACCAGCTGATGGGGTTTGTGCTGAGCCAAGGTTGACAACTGAGGATATCTAAGATATACAAAAAGTAAATAATTATGTGATGTAGAAGCATTAAAACGAAGATGTTTGAGCCACCTCATCTATAAAATATATATCCAACACTCCTATAGAACCTTAATGGAATATAGAAACGGGAAAAATATAAAAGATAATCCACTCATACATGGATGAAGTACAATACCTCTGATAGAGCTTTGAATAAGTTGTCCCCAGTGTGTACCCTAACAAGTTTGGCAACAGTCATGGTTGGATCAGTTGTAGGTATCACCACCGGAAACTCCAAAGCAGAGACAGATGGACTCCTTTCTTTCTGGGACATTAAGGCAGAGAGGCAAGCATCATCATAAAGATGCAGTTGCCCAGGGTTGGTTAAAACAAAAACATCAGCTTTATGATTATCCCCGGTTGTCCCAGAACTTGGTAACAAAATCAAGTCTGCAAAAGAGCCAGTAAGGGTGAGGTCTGTACGACCAACACATCTTAAATTCCCCATTCCAGGTGACCATTCAAGAGTTAGAACCTGAAACATGGAGAATCTTGTCAGCTCCTATATTTTTGTGGCAGTAAATAAACAAGAAAAGCACCAATTCAATTGTTGTACAGAAATTGCTTTGTTTCTAGCCATGTTAAACTGTTTTCGAAAAGTGAAGCCTTTATCTCTTTAAACTGAAGTCTTTACTATTTATAGGCATGTTATACTGTTTTCAAAAAATGCACTGTTTTGGTATAATATTAACCATTTTTCCGAAACAGCCATGGAACTTTTCAGTAACTACTAACTACAGCTATCCAACTAAAAGTATAAATGAAATGTCAAACTACAAATGGACAACACACCGTCAAAACTTCTTCTGATCCGATTTCATCGCCACCATAGATAAATAGTTGGCCATCACAACCATTATGGGATTTATAATCTGTGGACCACTGTAAAACTATGACAGGAAGTCTCCTTTCAGCAGATGATAATTGTAACTTCACAACATTATTAGATGGCGATAAAGCTTTTTGACCCTTGACGGAAGCAGGAGATGACATGTTCCAGAATAAAATGTCTCCATCTATGTATCCCACAGCCAGAATGGAGCCATTCGCAGATGCCCAACAAAGAGCACTTATCTCTTTGTCTCCCAATTGCTGTTCCAATGTATCTTCTGGAGAATCAACATTGACTTCATGTGTAGATTTAACAACTCCATCCCTTAGTTGGAGATCCTTACCACCTCCAATAAAAACTATTTTAGCTTCAGATACATCCCAAAGAATAACCAACCCGTTTTGATATGCAATCAATACTCTGCCAATAGAAAAACCTCATCATTCAGTGAAGTGAACATATAAACTATACTGTTCCTAATCAATAATACTTAGTCTTGAATAAGACAATGTAACCTCAATAAAAAGTCGCATGCTATCAGGAAATCATAAATACAATAAACTGAATTGAAATTGGATTCGTTAATGGGATAGCATAGCAATGAACTTTATTTAGAGACTCAAGAACGGCAGGGAGCTAAAGTGATATACCCCTCATATATAGTGCCATCAGTCCAAGTTCCTAACTGTAACGGTCTCATCTAATCTTCCACCATGTCCATGTTTTTTGACATCTTTCATGACTATAGGACAAGTTAGATTTGTGTTCTCCTTATGGTAAAAATATAGCACTCTACTCTTTATTGGTATGAGTAGTTGTGGGTATGAAATAACTTTATTACTTCATTGTTAAGCCACTCAAAGAGAAAAAGAAAAGAAAGAATATCAAAACAAAAGTAACCAAGGTTTAGCCATGATTAAACAGGACTACTTATCAACTTTTAACTGATATACTACCTTAATTTAACAAAAAATTCCTGCAAATTTATAAACACACGAAGGAGACAAGAAAACAATTATAAATTAGGCCCATTCTTGTTCCACACTAAAAGCAGATATGGAAAGTGAGAATCTTCAAGTTTATAACTTGCCTATTTCCAGATGAACAGGGTTGGGGAAGAATTCCAACTATAGGTTGGTCAATTGGAAATGGAAACGCAGCAGCTTCTGCAGAACATAGAAAAAGAACGATTGCATTACATTACTACAAAAGCAAATAAAATTCACACATTCCATAATTAAATTTTATTGATGTTGACTTCACAATGAAAAGAAGACATTTAATCATACAATTCTTCATGGAGGATACAAATATCACAACTATCTTTCAAATTGTACCCTACAACTTCTAAAACCAAAGTCCAAGTCTTCTCGGAACAGATTTAACTGAAAAGGGAGAGAAACAATTTCGTGGCACAAATCCATATATAGAAATAGCATCATCATGAACAATATTTAGGATCCTTCAGTAAAATGAGGTTCACATGAAACATATTTCTGATCAAATAAATTTTGGGTTTTAAAAAAAAAACCCTCCTCTTTGGATGAAGCCCTTGCAACTTTATATTTAGCTTCTTCTGTGACAAGAATTGCAACATTAACTAGAAAAATCATAAACCATAGGAGCAAAGAAATGATAAAATTGTAAGCTACAGTTATTAACCACCACACTGAAGAAACTATTCTTCATATATTACCATATAAAGAATTTGCAGAAATATGATATGGCAATCGCAAAAGTTTTCCCTCCTCTGCATCATACTTCACCACAGCCACTAGAGCATACTCATCACCAACATACCTGCAAGTTTTAATACAGCAAACAAGTTATGAACTAAGCCACTCCAGCCAATTAGTAGCTGACTCAAAATAGTTGTAACAATTTTTTCGATCAGTAGTGTACATTAAATTGGAGCCATGGATTACAGAAAATGCGGTTATATTTGTTTCCCACTCTAGACAATAAACTAGGGACCTGCTCTCGAGATTCCAAACCTGCCAAAATTGAGAAGTTATTGATCACTTGTTTAAATAAAAGATAGTTTCATGCTTAATCACTTCAACGAATTTAAATTCTGGCACTCGATTATCCACTGCAATTTCCAAGTCAACAGCCTTGCTAACAACTGTCATCTGCTTCTATCTATGCGTATTCCCTCCTTATGATATTCAACCTTATTCAGGTGTTCGTACGGTACATTTTTGTTATAACGGTAAACTTATTGAATCCAAAAGGACCACTAATGCATATGCTGAATATTTAAAATGATAAAGACACTGACGTTTGTAATCGCCTATAACTTAATGAAGATGCATACGATGCAGAAGTTATATGGAGTTCTCATGTTTTGCACGGACAGAGTTGAGTTTTACACGAGAAACAAAAACTGCAAAGTGGTTAAAGAATCAATACCTGAATATCATTATCATTTAAGATGCTCACCAAATAACCCTGGTTTTGTAGAAACTGCCAGATACAGTAAGAAGATTAGTTGCTAACTCGCTTAATGATAGAAAAGACCGGAGAACAGTATTCAAGGACGTTTTGGAGTGTTTTACCGCAAAAGTTTTATAAATATAACATTCAAACATATGATACTTTTGTTTTAATAAGTTGTTGCATGAAGAAACAAGATGCGTTTCATATTTTATTCTTTTAACTAAACAAGAGGAGTAAAAAATAATTCACTGAGAAACTTAAGAATCAGTGGTGCACATAGATACCTCAATGTATTTGTAAGGCAGTTGCTTCGGGGATATAAAAAGTCCTTCAATACCATCATCACCGATTACTTTAATCCTCCCATCCCTACCCAAAAAACAAAACAACAAAGTGAAATTGTAATATAACTTGTGTGGAGCAGCAATCTCATACGTCATGATAGATGTCTGGCAGTAGTGCCAATATTCTTTCAAAAATTTTGGTATCACCGCCTCATAGAAATGAATAGCGATTCCGATAAATGTGGAACCTCAATGCTTAGTACCAATCTATCTTACTAATCACATGACCGAGCACCATACTAAGTAGATTGGCTGGCATTCTATCAATTCCAACACCGAAAACAGCAAACACTAAATAAGAAAGTAGGTGCATTTTAACTCACAATGTTCCAATGGCCAAAAGGTGCTGAATCGGGTCGAAAGCAAGAATGGACGCCGTGGATGGGATGCCATAGTGAACTGCAACTCGCAGGTCCAAGTCTTCCGCCGTCAAACCCCCGTGTGGCAAATTATGCTGAAACCAACAATTTCCCCAACACAAAATCCAAATTTAAAAAATGGCAAGTATCAATCCAAACGCCGATACTAAAAGGTATCTAAAATTAAATTAATCCTGGCATTTCAGCAAAAAATACACAGAAATGAATCACAAAATTATGAAAAATAATCCATGAATGCAATTTCCAATTTCCCACGATACTAACAAGCTAAAGCATCGAAATTTAATCCAACCGAACAAAAAGGAAAGTAATTTTGTAAGTAAAAACGAAACGAAAATTACAAGCAAACAGTGGCGGCGATCGATTGCTTGGGAATAGGAGTACCTGAGAATCGTTTATGGATTTCTGCAAAAGCCGCTTGGCGAGCATCGCGAATCCGAATTTGCAGCTGAAAGATTTGAGCTTCTGAGAATTTTTGAAGTTAGAGAGTTGGAAGTTTTCGTCGGCTGCTTGATTCGACTGACTATCGGAGGAGACTTTCTGGATTTGTTTCAGTGATCATACCAATGGCGTTCCTAGTCTTTTGAGCCGTAAGTTTTTCGAATCAGTCAATGTCAGAAATTAAACATTAAAAGAAAAGAAAAAAAATAAAAGATAAAGTAAAATGGCGCTTAGGCCCTTTTTATGGGGCTTGGATCGTAGGCGGTCGGACTGGTTTAGATTTGGTACGCAATCGGCAATCCCTCCGTTGGAAACTGACAAAGCGCAGTCGTTTGCGTATGTTGTTTGTCAAACAATAATATTACTCGGTTAAATTATTAAGGGTTTTTTTAGTTAAAATAATTTCTGATATTTTTATAGCACATAATTTTGATTCATGAGATTTAAAATCAATAGAAATGGTATCTGAAATTATCCACCATCCGTCATTCCATTAAAAAACTTTGTTAAGGGGTCCAAAGTTTTTTAATGAAATGACCAAAATGATGGATGATGAACAATCTCATAGACCAAAGTTATGTGTTATACAAATCTTGATCAAAATTATATATTATGCAAATCTCAAGAACCAAAGTCCTGTGTTATACCTTTAACTTAACGGAGTTTTTTAACGGAAAGACTAAAATAATGGATGATGGACAATCTCAAGGATCACTTCTATTGATTTTAAATCTCATGAATCAAAGTTATATATTATACAAATCTCATAAATTATTTTGACTAAAAAATCAATTATGAAATGTTGGGAGAGGGAGATTAATGGTGATTAAACCTACACTAAAGTAACAGAGTATAAATATTATTATTTTTTACCATTGTGGTAAAACCGTTATCTGCCGGTGGATTGGGCATGTTAGCTGACTTCTTTTTGCATCCTTTGGCTGACACAGTGCCATTTGCCAATGGAGTAGATGAAAGCAGACGTCACGTGAAGGAAAGCAAAGGAAAACATTATCAATATTATAAGAAAAGTGTTTTTTTGCAGCAAAAAAAAAAAAAAAAAAAAAAAAGGAAAAATGTTATTTACATATTTATTTTTACTGATAAGGATTGTTTGTCCTCTCACTTTCGGTGCCCTCCTATTTGTGGGGCCACGGTTAAGCCACGTTAAAAAACAATATAAAAAACAATATAAAATGTTGACGTGACTTAACCATGACCACACAAAACAGAAGGGCACAGAAAGGCACTGGAAGTTGAACAGACAATCCTTGTCCTATTTTTACCTTATATCACTTTTCGTCATTAATCTTCTTCAATTTATTTTACACAAGATAGCAATACCCTATTATAAAGTAATAATAAAATCTTTTTTTTTCTTCTTTTCATACGGCCATTTTTTTTTTGAATTTTAAATTAATTTGATTTGCAAGGAAGCACTCGATTGCACATGAAGAGCAAACCTATCGGATTTGAAGTGGCTATGACCATGTTTACAAAACTCAATTGCATATAAGAAGCACATCTACAAATCCAAGATGGTTATACCCTTATCTACACAATATAACTCATCATGTATTTCATCAGAGTAAAATTTATATACAAAATCGAATCAAATCAATCACGAGCTATTTGGAAATATAGCCATTTTTTGAAATCAGTTGTTGAAATATAACCTACATTTTCTCCTGTTATAAAACTAACCACAATTAGAATTAAAAAAACTTAATTACCCTTAGCCTTCTCTTAACACTCCTATGCTGTCTCTAGACTCCTCATCTCCATTGAAACACCACCACCAAACTTCTCGTTACCCAAATGTAATTGAACCAAGTGATCACGCCGAGCAGTGACTGCAATACTAGATGAAGAAATAGTCAAAACTAACAAAAGTGTTCTGAAAACTTATTCGTGGTGTGGCTATGAACCCAGTCGAGCATCCTCGCGGAGGGGGTAATCATCACATATTGGACCGGCTACAAGAGCATGGCGTAACGCTTCTCCTGGGAAGAAGGTTGGTTTCATTGGTGCTAGGGGGGACTGGCGTGGGAGCAGGGGAAGGTTTTAAACGAAGGGCAATAAGTCTTTTTAACTTCAATTTTGGTTAGTTTTATAAAAAATGAAAAATGTAGGTTATAATTCAATAGGTGGTCTCTAAAATGGCTATATTTCCAAGGTTCCCATCAATTACCTGATTTGGTTCCAAACACCAGCTGTCCGTTATAGTATAAAATATAAAATGGGTTATTTTGTCCACTTATAGTATAAAATATTAAAAAAATCTGTGCCTTAAGTTGCGTGCCAAGTCGTCTTCCTCATCGCTGATCCGCAAATATTCTTACGTTTTGTCTCTCCAACTTCATTACTATCCTAAATATTTCCCTCCTATTCCAACGGAAAAAGGAAAAGAAATTTCCCCCGAACGCGAACGGTTCGAGCTCCGAGCTCCCAATTTTCCTCCTAGCCGCCATGACAGTTCCTCCGAATCAAGGTAAAATATTCAGCTCAATCGTATTTCCAGCTATTTGATTAATTTTTGTTGGCTTTTAGTTAGATTTCTTTTTTTTCTTTTTTTCTTTTTTTATGGATTTTTAACGATCAGAAATGATGGATTAAACAATTCTATATTTACAAATTACAATCATATGGGGTCTCCTAGAAGTGTTAAAGATCACAACTTTGACGGAAATTATTCCGAAATTTCGATTTTTTATTCTGGGTTAATTTTTTATTTAAGCATTAGGAGACCCTACAAATTGTGAGTTATTGGATTGAACTTGAAGCTTCTGGTGTTGATTTGGTTTATTCTGCAATTGTTATAAGCTGACCATGTGGCTGTGATTTCGAACTTTCGATTCGGTTTGACCGTCGTTATTGCTTTGCTGATTTCTGCAGATGATGTTAAGAAGAATGAAAGGACGAATTACTTCAATTCCCCTGCATTGGATGTCTCACTTGCTTTTCCACAAGCAACGCCGGCATCCACCTTTCCTCCCTGCGGTAAGAACGTTAACCATCCTTATATATACATATAGTATACATAAACTCGTATATGTGTGTATAGAGAAGTCTCTTTTGTAAAACAGTTTAGGATTTCCGCATGTTATGTGAATCCAGACTATTGATTTGATGGAATTGTTCGGATTTGTGTATTCATCATGTCTTATTTTTTGCATTTTAGTTTGTTTTTAGTTTGTTTATTTGTGAATATTTTGTACAATTCTCGTGCACCGCTTTAGTTGATTGTGAGTTGGATTTGTAATTTGAAGTGAACTAGGCAGCTTTAGTTATTAACTTCCATATTCTTATCTCTTGGCCTTAAAAATTCACAGCCTCGGATTATTACCAGTTTGATGATCTATTGACTCCTGAGGAGCAGGCTATGAGATTGAGAGTAAGAAAGTGTATGGAGAAAGACGTCGCTCCAATTATGGCAGAGGTATCCGTCTTGCTCTATCCATTTGTGCATTTCATATTAATGCTAAAACATTAAGTATGTAATGATCTAACTATAAACAATGAGATTGATATGCGAATTCGTTTTTTCAGTACTGGGAGAAGGCAGAGTTTCCATTTCAAATTATTCCGAAGCTTGGTGCATTGCGCATTGCTGGTGGCACAATCAAGGTGCTTAATACATATCTTAATATGTTATTTTTAAATCTTGCGTTCAAAAATTTGGTGGATGGGTTGGTAAACTCGCTTTTGGCCTTCTTGCTATCAGGGTTATGGGTGTCCTGGTCTTTCTATTACGGCAAGTGCTTTTGCTACAGCTGAACTTGCTAGAGTTGATGCAAGCTGCTCTACTTTCGTCTTGGTTCATTCCTCACTAGCAATGCTTACTATTGGTTAGAATTTGGATAATTTTACTTTTGACATTTTGATTTTAAATAACCAAACCTTCACTGAAAAATGATGCTGTTGACAAGTCAAGACTCACAACTAGTGTAACTTTTCTGTACTGTCAAGAATAGCATTATGTGGTTCGGAAGCTCAAAAGCAGAAATATCTACCTTCTTTGGCTGAATTTAAGACTGTAGCCTGCTGGGTAAGCTGCTTTTTTATGATATGTGTCTGATATCTTTATTGCTAATGTCAAGATACTGAAATCTGTTCATCTGCATGTTAAAGGGTTTGACTGAACCTGACTACGGAAGTGATGCGAGTGCCTTGAGAACGACAGCAACAAAGGTCAAGGATTTCAACCTTCCCATTTGCTTCTTTATCTCTGTTATTAGGGCCGGCCCAGTGTGGGCAGGGCGACTGTCCAGGGCCCGAAAAAATTAGGGGCACCAAAATTATTAGTGTGGCATATTTATATACGTTTTCATAAAAGTATAAATTTATAAAATTTGGTTTAATGACAAAGAAATTTAACTAGAACCAGTGATTTTGTTGTTTGAAATTAATGAGGAGGTCTTGAGTTCAAAATACCATGTATGCTTATTTAAATTTCAATTTTTACAAATTTCTTTTCATAACAGTATAAATTTATAAAATTTGGCTAAATGATTAGAAGTTTAACTAGAAGCAATGGTTTTTGTATTTAAAATTAATGAGAGGTCTTAAGTTCGAAATGCTATGTGTATGTTTATTTTTTTCAACTTCTTGTTTGGTAATTTATTTTTAATTACTAGCCAGTAACTATGTGGGTTGCTATTTTTAAATATTCGTTCCAATTCAAGTCTAATCTTCAACAAAGGGTAATGCGTAGACCAAATTTGCAAATCATATGACGTGTCATCAAAAGGTTTAATTTAGTGCCCATTCATTACTTATACATATCCTTAAAAATTCAAAAATATCATTATTTTTTTAGTCTTATATTGATGAGGTTAAATAAATAAGAAAAAACACCTCACGATTTATACAAAAACATTTTAAAAGTTCAAATGGAAGACAAAACTCATAATCTATCGACTTGTAAGCCTGAAGTTTTTTGGTTTCCTTCTCTCAATACAAAATACATTAGTTTTTCCGTGTTTCTAAATTACTGAGTTTGAAGTGCTTTTCTAAATATAATTTATCAATGTTTTATGTGTAAAAACAAATAAATTTTTTTTATGAAGTGAGGGCACACTTTTTGGCGTCAAAAATCTCTGGACCGGCCAGACTGTAAAATGGTATTTGTCATGGCTCTGATCTCATGCTATATCATGTATTCTTTGTGTTGTGGGGATCATCAGGTGGAAGGAGGTTGGATACTTGAGGGCCAAAAGCGATGGATAGGAAACAGTACATTTGCTGATGTCTTGGTTATTTTTGCTAGGAATACAACAACAAATCAGATTAATGGGTATGTAAAACAGAAACATGCGAACCCTCTAAGTATGTAACTTATGCAAAATTTTATGAATATTTCTCTAGCTTCAAAGTTATGCAAAATTCTATGAATATTTCTTTCTGATTATCTTTCCCCTTATATTCACATCGCGTTGGTGTTTAGATGCTCTAGATTAATCCAAAAGTTAGCATGATGGTTTTCTGTAGCAGCACTCTCATGTTTAATGCCTTTTTTCTCCTTCTATTTCAGATTTATAATAAAGAAGAATGCCCCTGGACTGGCAGCTACAAAAATAGAAAATAAAATTGGTCTGCGCATTGTCCAAAATGGAGATATTCTCTTAAATAAAGTATTTGTTCCTGATGAGGAAAGGCTGCCTGGTGTTAATTCTTTTCAGGATACTAGCAAGGTAAGCTGCAAAGCCGTGTTGGTTAAATTTGTTTAATCTTCTCTCTTTAGAGTGATTTAGGCATAACTTCTACTTCTTATTCGACCATATGTTTAATAAACAAGACATGAGAGGTATTACTTTCAGTACTGTGATTTTGAGATCATGTTCAAGCTTGACTAGAGATTCATCTTTGTTCTTGCTTAGCTCTTTCTTCACCTTTTGAGAGATAAGGCTTGATACTGCGATGACATTATACCAAAGTTGTAACTCTGAATCTTCTTTCTACGTAGCATAGAGCAAATTTTTTCTTTCTGTTGCCCTAACATAAAGCAGATGTGAATCAATTGATTCATTTGTTAAGGAATCTTCAAATAGTTTACATTGTTATCGTCTCTCATTTCTCACACGTTAGAATGACACGTATAATGCTGTCTTCGTGAGTGTTTATTGATTTGATGTTGATTTAAACTACTTAAAACAGGTTCTTGCTGTTTCACGTGTCATGGTCGCCTGGCAACCTATTGGTTTATCTATGGGAGTCTATGATATGTGTCACAGGTATTAAAAAGTGCCTAAGCGCCTCTCTCTCTCTCTCTCTCTCTCTCTCACATCTTCAATTCAGTGTATTTTCAAGTTTCCTTGGTACCGAGTCTGAATTATATGGAATTGGAAGGTATCTGAAGGAGAGGAAACAATTTGGAGCCCCCCTTGCAGCTTTCCAAATCAACCAAGAGAAACTTGTTCGTATGCTTGGTAATGTTCAAGCTATGGTTCTTATAGGTTGGCGCCTCTGCAAGCTGTATGAGGCAGGTAAAATGACTCCAGGTCATGCTAGCATGGGGAAGGTAAGAAAAAATGACGTCCTCATGCATTTGGTTATCCTATTGCTTATCCATTCAAAATATTCAGAATAATAAATGTGTGCAATTTTCAGGCATGGATCACTCTGAGAGCAAGGGAAACGGTTGCTCTGGGAAGGGAATTGCTAGGTGGCAACGGAATCTTATCTGATTTTCTTGTTGCAAAGGTAATTTGCTTATTTGTGGATTTAAAAGTTTACGTTTTAGAATCTATACAAGGATTGGAACGTTTTTTATTAGATGAATTTTCAAGCTAGGACTCGAAAGCAATGATAGGATTGAGAGGCTGTTTCTTTTGACACGGGCGTTTGTTATGTATGTCTACCTTTTTGTTTCACCTTTTGAGCCCTTTTCATTTTGGGGTCACCTTGCAGGCTTTCGGTGATCTGGAGCCCATCTACACATTTGAAGGCACGTATGACATCAACTCCTTGGTCACCGGCAGGGAAGTCACTGGCATTGCCAGCTTCAAGCCACCTGCGTCAAGCCAACGGAGCCGCCTGTAGTGGTGGAACTTATCCGAATCTCAACTCCCTCCGCAAGCTTGTTTCATTAACAAGGTTGTCTGATGTCAAATGGGATGAAGTAAACTTATCCATTGACAACCAAAATTAAGGACGCCTTATAAATTCTCGGTTTTTGAACATTGTATCGTCATAGTTCTGAAAGACAAATAAACGATCTCAGCAGATCGCCGCATTCGACTTTTCAGTGAGTAGTAAACTGAGTTATTCGCCAGAAAAGCGCCATACCTGTGCAGGCGCCGGCGGCATAGCTGGAGTGACGAAAAGAAATGAACTTTTTGAAACTTATGACCAGAGATTGCTAAACTTGGTGGTTGGGTCAACAGAAGCTGGAATTTTAACGTAAAAACTTTCAGTACTTCACTTTAACGAAATACTACATTTTTACTCGAAAAAATGAATTATAGTATTATTCACTTACAATACTTTTTTATCATTTTCGTTAAAACTTAAAGTTTTGAAATCCTTTTTATTAGTGTTTCTTATTAAATATAAAATAATATACATCTCAAAATTAGCATACCATAATCAAAATTATTAGCCTAACCTACCATACATTTTCGTCAAAAATAAAAACTCATAATTAACAATAGAGAACTTTAACAAAAAATTTCCGATATTATTTACTTTAACGAAAAATCACATATTTTTACATTAAAAAATCAATCCTAATACTATTCACTTTCCTTTTTATTTTACCTTAAAACTCAAAATTTTCAAGTTTTTTTTATTAATTTTCCTTTTAACAAGATAAACCACAAAATTCTCGAAAATTCTACCACCTACTAGTACTACCAATTGGACTCCCACCGCCGCCGCTCCTTCCGCTCAATTCCCTCCGCTTCTCGGCGTCCCTCTCCAACCCCAAACTCCTAATCTTCAGCTGAAACTGCGCCACCGCCGTTAAAAACCTCACCGCCTGCCTCGAGCTAAGTATCTCCACCAGCTTCGTCACCATCGTCGTCCTCAGCAAGTTGGCATTCACCAGCACGGATTCCAATGCCGGCTTCAGCGATTCGATCACCGCGATGTCCTCCACGATCCCCCCGTCCCTGGCCCTCCCGTACCGCCGCAGCACGTCGACGAACGGCGGCGCCGCCACGCTCTCGTGAATCTTGGCAAGCTTGTCGTTGAGCGCGCGCTCCTCGACCCGGGTCTCCTCCCTCAGCCGGGCTATATTGACCCGTTGCCGGTCGCTCAAATCGGGCACCGACTCCGTCACTATCCGGAATACGAGACCCGGTTTGTACCCGGCGATCCAAAGGAGGGTCCTTTCGTAGGAACTAAACCACTTCGGGGAGAAAACCAGGAAAACATCCCGATGGGCAAGTCGCGATTTCTCGTCGTAGTACTGCTGGTAATGGAGGAGAACCCGGGATATCAAATCTCGAAGGTCTTCATCTCGGGCCTCGTCGATTGTCTGCTGGGTCGATAGGAGCTCGTCGAGGAAGTGTTCTTGCCGGACCAGCCAGCCCTCGAAGAATGCCACGAATGTGTTCGATGTATTGCCGCTGTGAGAGCCGGTTGACATAACCAAAACAAAAACAGAGAAGATTTCTGGGATTTCAAAGGGGACGAAGTACAGAGAGATGGGCGTGATTAAATAGGAGATTGGATTTGAAAGGTGGGTTCTTTTGGTATTTTGATTTCGCTTTGTGGGCAAGTAATGCTAATGGGTGGGGATACTTCGAGAGCAAGGTTCATACATTTTGTTTCTTTAGGGAGAGAAAGAGGAGAGGAGAAAACAGAGGAGGTGATGGTCAGACGGAGACGCGTGTGCAGGTGGATGCCATTATATATATATATATATATATAGAGAGAGAGAGAGAGAGAGAGAGAGAGAGAGAGAGAGAGAGAGGTGAAATAGTGGGATAATAGTTAAACGGTGGCTCCACCAACTGCTGTCATTAAAAAGACACCGACTGATGAAAGAGAGAGAGGGGAGGGGGATGATGTATAACTGAAAGGTCTCGGTGGGTTCCGTCGTGTAGTGAAGCCAGAGGAGTATGAAGGTGTTCAAAGTGGTGGAGTGGAAGGAAGAAAGGAGAAAGATTCACTCACAAGAAGGGTTTTTTAATTTGTGATTCTTTTTGGGGTGTGTATTTTTTTTTCACAATTGTTTTTGTCAGAGCGGGATTTCGATTTGACAAGAAAGGGAAGGGGATTTTGTGTTAGCTTAATGGGGGATTTTCGGGCTGCTCGGATGACGGGCCAACACGTCTTCAGGCGGCAAAGTGGAGGGATTGTGTGAAGCCAAGTCATAGTTTCGGGTTTGGGGAGTGGGGAGGGTGTCTTTCTCAATAGGCAATGTTTTGCATTGATTAAAAGGGGGATTTTTTTTTATTTAAATGATTAAATGAGGTGAAAAAATTTAAAGCTATTATAATAATGAGTAAATAGAGTTTTAAACTCAAGACGTATTGGAGGTTGTTGGTGGCGGGTGGGGGGTGGACGTATGCAAGTTGGAGAAATGGCTAAGTACAAAATAGAGTGAAGGTCGGTTTGGTAGCTCCGCCTGTACATGACACTTTCGATTGAAAAGCGAACTGGTTGTTGTAATTTAGGGCATGTATAGAGTAGAGGAACTTATTGGTATACTATTGTGTCTTCAAGTCCTGTATAGAGGAGAGAAACTTATCCACAACAAGATGCACCCATGACGTTATTGTGAAATAATTATATATTGTTATGTGTCTTATCTCTTTCAGTGGCAATACATAATTAATTTGAGGTAGCAATTTTCGTTGCATGAAAGCCTTTTTTTATACAACAAAGTTCTACATTTAAGCGGGAGAGGTATATATACTATGAGGAGAGGGAGGCTGAGTTAGGCCACACAATGTGTTAGTCATTGACTAGGTATTAAACTTAATACAAATTTATATATATTATCGTCATTCATGTAAGTCAAACTTAAAAGATCTTACTTACACATAAAGAGTGCTTGCACCGGACTGTCTCAGACTAGACTAACTTCAGGAACTAAGCTGAACTGGCTTAGACTAGACTAAACTGGACTAATTTAGGGAAGCATTTGATGTAGTGTCAAACTAAAAATCAAAATAATAACAAACTTTAATATTACATTATTTAATACATATCTCTTAATATTTTAATGATGCTAATTAATATTTTATTATTATGCAACATTTTTCATTTTCTTAAGAACTCTCCCTCTCCCTAGAAACTTCTCTGCATTTCTCCCTCTTTGGCCCCGTCATATTCTCTTCGTTTCTCTATCTTTTTTCTGTATTTTAGATCCTTCAAAACTATTTTTTGCAAAAAAATTTCTGCAAAATTTCACATTCCCTAGAAACAAGCTGATGGATTATTTCTCCCTCTGATCAAGTTATTACTGCCTGGCTTTGTTCCTTCAATCGTTGCTGTTGAAATGGTGAGATGTTTCTTTTATTCAATCATTTGCTTTAGTAGCACTTTATCTCCATTTTCAACATATAGCTTTAGGAAAGCCTATATCTGCCTTTGATTTGATTTGCTTCATCAATTTCTCTTTTCATTTTTTCGTGTTTGTAAATTCTTCGAAAGGTTGAGATGTTTGGTCTACAGTCGGAGCATGTGGTTGAGACCGCTGTCCTGATTTTGCAGTGCGAGATCGCCGTCTTGCATTTGCAGTGCGAGACCGCTGTTGCTGTTGCTGTTGATGTGCGAAGGACGAGATCCATGGATCTGAAAGCAGAAGGGGCCAGATCGACGAAGCTCGCAGAGGATTAGAGGAGCGAACGAAGCTGGTCTTAGCAGTCCGGCTGTTTTTGGAGGTTCTTGAAGGCTTTAGTGAACGCGAGTCCCTCCTAGTCCCACTAATGCTAATCCCTGATACTAACAAACACAGAATTAGACTAGATGTTAGTCTAGTCCAATCCAATGAGGGCTAAGGAGGGCAAACAAACACGCTCAAAGAGCAATACTACTAAGTGATTGAAGATTGCAGTGAAGTTGAAGGGTAGGAGACAAATTTTCAATGACTTTTACTGATGACAGAAATTGGTTGCCAAGAGATATATTCAGCAACAGGCTGCTGCTGAATAGATATTTTTATTCAAATTGGTTCATGACGTGTTCCAGTTGCTCGAAGTGATGATCTTATAAGAGATGCTGGTGTTGCCAATTGGCAATTTTGACCAGCCAATGATTGTACTGGGGACTGCTACGTGGCATGGGAGATAAAATTTGGTTGTTCTTATCGAACACAGATCCCCTCCGGATCTGTGCAACCGAAGTGTAGGGATGAATGGATTCGAGTCATTGAAATTTGATAAACGACTACAATTATTATAACTTTTAAAAGAATTTTTTATTTGTAACCATTAGATCAAATTTTAATGGTCTAGATCCATTGATCCCTGCACTCACAGATCCGGAGAGGCTCTGTGTTTGTTCTTATCACCTCAACAGGTCTCTAATTTTTTTTTTGGTACATGAAGCGGGAAACCCAATAAGGTTTGATGTAACGACCAACAATATAACTATTTCTTAATTATTTATCTGCGTTCGTAAATTTACGAGTGCTTCAATTTGTCGTACATGTCAGAATGATTTGTATTCTACCATAAACTAACATACATATACGTACATATTGAAATATATGGTTTTTCAATAACCTTATAGAGCTTGATCGAAATCTGAATGGTTGGTATCAAAATCTGTATGGTTGGATCACCAACCAAAGGTGTACATCGGCAGGGCATAAGATTCAAATTCTACGGGAAGGGGATCGAATTCTGAAGCAAAAGGTCGGACAAGACACGCTATCTGGCCAAAAGCACTAAGCGGAACGAATTCAATTGAGATTTTGAAGGATTTTAAAAGACCATTAACCAACAAGCAATATTTAGCAGAATCCCTTCGCAACTTCAGTAGAAGATAAAAAGGTAATGCCAAGTTGAGATAATAAACATAAAATCGCATATTTAAAATTGGATTAACAAAGCTCCAAGTACACTGAGGAGTTCAAACATCCATAGAAGGATGCCACAGATTAACTACAACGATTACGACGGAAAATTACTTTAGTCATAAATTACTTCACTAGACTAGCCACAGAATGAGAGTAGGTTGGAAATATATCGAACGAGAAAATACAACAGTCAAACATACGAGCAGGAATAAGCAAGCTTCCTAAGAAAAACACCTGATTGTAATATAGCCTAAGCCTCAATGATGAACACA